AATTCGAAATCAGGCCCTCCCTCCCACTAAGGATAATTTGTTTGATCAACTCAGAGTTCAAAATGAGATGGAAGAAGTCTTATCCCCAGAAGAAATGAATTAGGTGGCTTAAGTACAGGGATCGTAACTCAGGGTTTTTTCATGCTTCAATGATTCAAAGGAGGCAAAGGAATCAGATTTTAAAGCTTCAGACAGAAGAATGGAGGTGGCTCTGTTCTAACAACGATATTAATCATTACCTTATTGAACTTCTATTCCAATTTGTTTATTTACGGTGGTAATAGCAATACGGATGAAGCTCTAGAAGTGGTTGAGCACTCAATCTCGGCAAATATGAACCGCGTGTTGGTAAAACCAATTTGTGATGAGGAAATTAAGGAAGCAGTTTTTAGCCTTGGTACGGACAAAGCCCCCGGTCCCGATGGCTTCCCGAGATTTTTTTATCAAACTTATTGGGCTGAGGTAGGTAGACAAGTGTGTCAAGTAGTGAAGGATTTCTTCAATATCTTCTGAAAGAAATTAATCACACGAATCTGGTGCTAATCCCAAAAGTTCCCAACCTAGTGAAACTGTCACAATTCTGCCCAATCAGTCTTTGCAATGTCATCTTTAAGGTTATCACCAAGATTTTAGCCAATCGACTAAAAGTGATTCTGAACAAGTTGATTTCTCCATACCAGTCTGCCTTTGTGCCAGCTAAACTAATTAAAGACAACATTTTGTTAGCTTATGACTCTTTTCACTCCCTGAAGCTGAAGCGTAAAGGAAAATCTGGAAACATGGCGATTAAACTAGACTTCAATAAAGCCTACGATCATATGCAATGTGATTTCTTGGGGGCAGTGTTAAGGAAGATCGGTTTCTATCCTACCTAGCTTCAATGGGTGATGGAGTGCGTGACAACGATTTCATTCTTAGTTTTTGTTAATGGGGAAAATAAGACTGCCTTTATCCCAACCAGGGGGTTGAGACAAGGAGATCCCCTTTCTCCTTATCTCTTTCTTCTAGTTTCAAATGTGCTCTCTAGGCTGATTTCTAGAAGTGTGAGGAACCACCAGACATTAGGCATCAAGATTACAAGACATTGCCCTATACTCTCTCATCTTTTGTTTGCAGATGACGTCCTCCTCTTCCTTAATTAAAGCCAATTCTTCTAAATGTCAAAAGATGATCGAGGTGATTAGGGTATATTGTGGAGCCTCAGGCCAACTTGTTAACTTCGACAAATTTAGCATTGTCTTTTCGGCTAATGTACCATTGCCTACTGTCACGACCCAAACCCGCCCCTATGGGTTTAGCACCGTAACCGGCTAGTAATCCGAGATTACCAAAGGTCTGCTTAACAGTCAGACAATAATACAGAGTACAGGGGCATGACGGAAGCTAAAACAGTAAATAAACAATGTCCAATGAACTGTGAGTCTGTATGCAAAAAGATTTTTCATACGTATATACATGAACAATACAGAACAGTATGTACAATATTTACAGTCGATCAGAACAGGGACCTAATCCCTGTTAGACAGTACAGTACAGTGTTATCAGTCTATACAATAATACAAAGCAGATACAGAGACAGACGGGGGAAATAAAAACACCCCTAAGCCATAGCTTGGTAGGCTCGGAACCTCGCAGTGAGGCACAGTGGTTGGCTTGACAAAAAGGGAGTCTAACCCATGCTCCTAGCTCCGGTCTGGTGCCTGTACACCTACATGTATATATAAACAGTGAGCTAAAGCCCAGTGAATAACATAATGCATAAAGAGGTTAAGAATGAATGTCCTTACAGTAATGAAAACAGTTCATTAAATCAGTATTTCAATCGTTCAGTCGTAACAGTCATATGTGGTACATCCATTAGCATAGCAGTACAGTAAACAGTAGGTCTTAAAAGACCGAGCAGTCAATGATGGCTATCATAACAGTAAACAGTAGTGGTTCTACATGGGAACCGACAGAGATCTCTGTAACAATAGCAGTAACAGTAAACAGTAGTTGCTAAGGATGTCATAATACAGTTCAGAATATAGGACATACTTTCATTCAGTTGACAGTAACAGTTCAGAAAGTAGTTCAGTTAACAGTCAGAAAATATTCATCTTTGAACATATCTTTACACAATTGTTACTCATAGAGTTCTGGGCTACAGTTAAGCTAGAGCGCGTCTCCAATCACCAACCCTACACAGTTTACAGGACGAACACACACTAAGTTACACAGTTGGAAAAGATAATAACTTAATCCCTAATTTGCCTCGGTGTGTTCTATATCTATATCCTCATTAAGATGCCTTAAACTAGGCCTAAGAATGCTTAGGATGAAATGAGGATGCAAAGATGCACTTTAAAACATTTTTCAGAAAACAGAGGTCCCGCTCGAGCGTATGTTTCCCCGCTCGAGCGTATACTTTCCCGCTCGAGCGTTCTGCAAAACAGGGCAAAAGTACTGGATAGGTGAAAATCACGCTCGATGGGCGCTCGATAGCTGCTCGAGCGTAATACACAAGGTCCCGCTCGAGCGTCAATTATTCCGCTCGAGTGGACGTCAAAACAGTGCGAAGTACTGGGAGCACGAATTTCCCGCTCGAGCGCCACTTTCCCCGCTCGACCAGGAGTTCAAAATCTGGAATTTCCAGATTTAAACTTCCAAGCTCAAAACCAAGTTCAAATGCACAAATTCCGATCCTCTTGGGCCAATTTTCCAGAAAACATTCCAAAACTAATAATTTAACATGATTCCAAAGTTCAATTGTAAAATCAAAGCCCAAGGGTGTTTCAAACACTCAATTTCAAATCAATTTTCATGAACATGATGAACATGCAAACATACATGAGTTTAAATCAATTCAAAACTTCAATACATGCTCTAATGAGCCGATTCTCTTCAAAACAAGATGAAATCATAGACTTAAACATAATTATGAGCATGCATGTAACATTTTGCCATGAAAACAACTTAAAACTCAACAATACAAACATGTATGCAAGATTAGAGCTACAACTCAACATGCTAGAACTAATTCATGACTTAGCTCTTCAATTTGGCAAGAACCATGCAAGAATCAATTTAAAGACACAATTAAGAGGGTAAATTCCTTACCTAGGTCCTCAAATACAAGGAGAGGAAGCTTAATTTGCAACCTATATTCCAATTCTTCAAGCCAATGCACAAAGTCAAGTTGAATTCACTCCAAACCTCTCACTCTCCTCTCTTGATCGGTTATGAACATCAAAAGGGCTAAACAAATGTTTTGTAATGCCTAAGAATGAGTCTCTAAAGTGTCAAATAAGTGGCCCACTAGATGGCACTAAGGTAATTAAGTTAAATTATGTAATTAGCTTATTTTAATCTATTTTAATTATACTAAATCAAATTTCAGATAAATATACCATAAAATCACATTAATTCTACTGATCTTAAGACACTAATCAATTTCAGATTCGGCCGCCGATAAGGCCTTCAATTAGCAGTTTAAAACATAGAATGTGAATAGATAATCAAACAGGCAACAGATAGATAATGCATTTAAACAGATACAGTCAATCAATCAATTTCAGATTTCAGTCTGTCTGTTCAGTATTTCAGTTGATTCAATTACTTATCGTAATCAGTCTCGTTTTAGCAGTAATCAGTAGTTTATCGGTAAATGGGGGTGAGGGTTATTACACCTACCCAGCACCAGATTTGTTCTACTTCTGGATTTCGGTTAATGTAGAATGATGCCAAATATTTGGGACTGCCTTCGTTTTGGGGAAGGTCAAAGGTTGATGCATATGGCTTCATCATTGGAAAAGTCCTTTTTATACTCTAAGGGTGGAAACTAAAGTTGCTTACACAGGTTGGCCGTGAAATTTTAATCAAAGCAATGGCCCAAGCTATCCCCACTTACGTCATGGCGTGCTTTGCTTTCCTGCAAAAGTTTTGCAATAAACTTGACTCTTGTATCAGAAAATTTTGGTGGGCCGAAGGCCGAGGAAGGAAAGGGATCCATTGGGTAAATTGGACTAAATTATTTTTACCCAAATCAGAAGAAGGGCCGGGCTTTCGTGATTTTCATGCGTTCTTTATAGCCTTTCTAGTGTGTCAAGGTTGGCGCTTGTTGAAAAACGCAGGATCTTTTTGTGCTCAAATAATGAAAGGTATTTACTTTCCACATACCGAATTCATGTAGGCTACTCAAGGGCATAGAGTTTCTTGGGCATGGGCTAGTATTATTCAAGGCAAGAAGTTGCTTGAATAGGGGGTCCGATGGCAAGTTCATAATGGGATTTCTGTAAGGTTTTGGAATGACAAGTGGGTTTTGTTAAACCCTGGTTTCAGAGTGACTGCTCTTAAACCTTCGGACTGTCAAATTCAAAAAGTGGAGGAAGTTATTGATCAAGCGCATGGAGTGTGGAAAGAGAACGAGATTAAGAAGCTAGTTTCGGTGGCAGAAGCACAACCAATCTTGTATATTCCGATATCTACAGAGAATATGGAGGATTCTCTTATTTGGCATTTTGATAAAAAGGGGTTTATTCTGTTAAATTGGGGTATCGTACAGCCATTTTGGGACAGTCAAACAAGGGTCCATAACAACCATCCTCCTCTTTTCAACCTTCAAAATAGTTTTGGAAGCTCATTTGGGTCTCAAGGTTCCCTCTACGATACGCCACTTCTTATGGAGAGTGTGTAAAAATGCATTGGCAACTAAAGAGAATATTCATCGAAGGCGGTGTGCCCTCCATCCTATTTGCCCAATTTGTCAAGTAGCTGCTGAAACAGTGGAACATTTACTTTTTGGGTATAGCTGGGTGAGAGCCGTTTGGTTTGGTAGCAACTTGAGTTTCAAGGTTGACCCAATGTCTATTTCATCTGTGGTTTAATGGCTACATCATCTTCTGGATCAGTTCAGCAACAAATCAATGTAGGAGGACTTTATTAGCTCTGTAGCTTGGATGGGATGGTTTTTTTGAAAGGGGCGAAATGATTTTATTTTCAATGCAAACCCAGTTGACCCGATGTCCATTTTTCTTCGAGCCAATCAAGCAATAGAAGAATTAAAGTCAACTTCGAATAGCCCTGTCGGTGTTGTTGCTGGGCCGTGGAATCTGTCTACCTGGGTTCCTCCTCTGGGGATTGGTTTGAAAATCAATTGTGATGTGACTGTCAAGAAAAATTCTACTCATGGTGCAATCGTTGTTCTATTGCGAAATTCTCATGGAAATCTCATTGATGGAATAGCCAAGTTTGTGACTATTTCATCTATTCTACAAGGTGAAGCTTTTGCTATTTTTGTGGATTATAAGGCATGGCAAATTACTTACTAACCAAATGAGGCTGCACAGGGGCTTAACTCAAGATGACCACTACCCCAGTTGTAATATGATTGAGGACTGCCAACATCTTTTTAGAGGATGCTATAAGGCCAAAGAAATTTGGCGATCTTTTTCCAGACCTTGGTTCCTTGAAATGCGAAGGAAAAGCTGAATGGATTGGTTCATGAGTAATGTTTCAAATAAAAATCACTTTAATACTGATCTCCCTTGGTATCTAGTTTTTACTGTAACCTTGGGGAAAATCTGGAAAAACAGGAATTTGTATGTGTTTGATAGAAAACCCACAAGTTACCAAGGGAGTATCATTTACATTTTGGATTACGCTAGAGAGATCCATCTTGCTTTCCTTAATTCTTTACCTGTTCCAAGACCAGCTTATCAATTTGTTTCTTGGTTATTACCACCTGCAAGACAACTGAAGCTTAACACTGATGGCAGCAGAAAATCAGGAGGAGATGGAGGCTTGGTTAGAGATGAAAGAGGAGCATGGGTTTGTGGATATTATGGCAGCTTCAACCAGGAACCAGTCTGGAGGCGGAGTTGTGGGCAGTCTACAAGGGTTTGATAGTGGTTCTACAGCAAGGTTTAAATGGAGTGATCATAGAGACAGATGCAGCTCAGGTGGTGCAACTACTGCAGGAAGAGGTAGGAGACAAATGCCTTTTCAGGCATCTAGTGGAGGATTCAAAAATCTTACTTAAAGGATGCAACTGCACTGTCCAACATGTTTGGAAGGAAGCAAATCTGTGTGCTGATGCTCTTGCCAAGCTTAGAGCAGCTCAACCGGAGGACATGCTGGTGGTGAAAGAACCCCCAGTTGAGATTAGAAGTTTGCTTGTTGATGATATGCTATGACGATCTATGGAAAGGGCTTAGTCCTTTGTTTTATTTCCGTTGTAACCAAAAAAAAAAAGAATGGCGTGTCATTTGGCACAAGTACATAACCTTTCGAACATTGAGATTGAGGGCGACAAGAAGTCAATCATCCACCTTTGTGTGTTTGAGACAGTTCCCCCTTGGGAATGCAATGCTATCTTCCTAGATATCAGAAGCATGGCTAGGAGAGGGAATTTTATCTCCAACATATATAAACATCTCCAACATATTTATTTACATTTACATAGCTGCTGCTAGTGATTTTTTATTTTGTTTATTTATTTATTTTTTTTTTCATAGGGGCGTACTTTCCCTTACCAAGCAATGCATTTAAGGCTTATTTTGAGCTGCAGATACACACTCCTGATTTAACATTTGTTGTAGCTAATAGAGTTGATGCACAAGAAGCGTTTAGCACGATAATTTGAATTGTTTTTTTGTCTTTTAACTAAATTCTTAATGGTTTGTAGAGGTGACTAAACTATTAGAACTTAAATGGTTGCCTAAGACCACAAGGATATTTCTTTTAAAAGAAATTATTGTCGAAGGCCCAACTTTTCAAAGGCTTAATTAGATATGGTCTCATTTTGATATTTAGTTTAAGGCTTCCAAAAACCTTGGGTTGCTACTGTGATTCGACTATTAAGCTACTTAGACTGTTGTTTGAGGCTCTCAAGGAACTTTAAAAAAAAAAAAAAAAAAATTGTCAAAGTCCCGAACCTTATGATTAACTATGATTTAATTAAGTTAACTGTTAGAAATTATAAATTATGTATATGAGAAAGAAAAAATAACAAAAAAAAAAATTTATTAGGGTTTGAAGGTAGTACAGTGATTTCACATCTATAGTTAATGGAATTAACAGTTGCACTTTGGTCTAAAATCACATGAAAACTTTTTAGTTATATTTGAACAATAAGGGACAAAATGATATGGCCTCAAATCAGAAGAGGTGAAATGAATTTTGTCCATTTATATTATTGTCCCTTAAATTCAAAGTTTAGTAACCTAAAACTATAGTCCAAATTGTTCGACATTAAGGGTTATTTTTAAAATAAGCTTTAAGAGCATCTCCAACGGTTTATTATAATTTTCACTAAAGCTGAGTAAAAAATAGTTGATTTTCTCAATTTGATATGGGTAGCTCAAACGGTGTGCATCAAAAGAGAAGAAGATGTCCGGTGGGTCGACTGGCCGGTCGACCAGTAAAGCTTATCAAAATTCACAGCATGTCTACAACAAAATGACACAAAACTAAAAAATTTTTATCAAGCTGACATATAAACTAAAGCTCCCTGGAAATTTTTTTTTATAATGACAGAACTAAAAAAATTCACAGCATGTCTACAACAAAATGTAATGCTATTATCAAACTGAAATACTCTGTCAACCTAACTGAAATTCATAGCATGCTATTATTAAACAGATATATTTTATAGAGCACATCAGCAACGGTAAGTTTTCAAAATAATTTGTCAATCCAACGGTAAATTATTGGAATTGCTAATACAGAACGGCTAGTTCTCAACTAAAAATATGTATATAGGATGTGACTTTTTCATTTGCATTTTCATGGGAATTTAAATTTATATCACCCATCAATTTATTTCTAGTCCACAAAATAACCTACCTATTTGAACTTGTTCTAGAAAATAAACCAGTTCGCACCTGTTCTAGAAAATAAACCAGTTCGCAGAATAAGGGAGCCGGTCAACCGGTGGGTCAACCAGCCGGACATCCGGTTGGTTGACCAGTTGGCCCACCCCCAACGTTACAGCATAGTGAAATGGTGAAATCTTGCACTTGTCCTCAGTTTGATGAAAGTTTTGTTCCGTTCTCAGTTTGATATCAATTTGGTGAAATCATTGGAGAGGGAAAAAGAGACTTTTTTCATCAAATTTGAATTTGATGCTTAATCTAATACACCGTTGAAGATGGCCAAAAGGATAATTTATTGATATTGTTCAACATTAAACTTGAATTAGGCTCAGGTCTTGTTTGGAAACAAACTTTTTAGCAACTTTTTGACTTTTTGGCTAAAATATAATGTAAGAAAAACTAATATGTTTGAGATGATTTTTTAATTTTTTATAAAAAGATCTGCAAAAAGTAGAGAGAAAAGAGAATTTTTGATTTTTTAATCTAAGTTGTTGGCTTTTTGATTTTTTTAGTGATTTTTTGACTTTTTAACTAAAATCACCGCTTGCCAAACGAGGCCTTAGTTGAAGGTTCACAACAGTTTTTTTTTAATAATAGTACAGATAAATTATGCCACCAAATTATGTGTTTGTTTTAATAATAATCCAGATAAATCTTCAAATATTAACTTAGCAGGTGTAAATTTATATTGCGGTTAAATAATATCATAACCATTTTTAATTTGTATTATGGCATATGAATAAAGAATCAAAAGAGATAAACAGTTGATTTTTCTTTAAATTGAAAAAATTTAAGTTAAACTTTAGATTTCAAATAGAGTTTTAATAGGTAAGATAATTTTTTTAATTGAGTTGTATCACCTTCGATTTTGAAAAATCAACCATTTGAATAGGTTTTTTTTTTTTAAAAAAAAAAGAAAAAGAAAAAGTCGTAGCTGATACTTTCTATTCCTAAATTTTGAAGTTTAAAAGACCATGTAAATATAAATTAAAAAATAATAATCTAACAAAAGTTGAATATGTACCAACATGTATTTTTTTTTTATGGTTTTTTGTTTTCTTTGGCTTGTAGTCAATTTTTTCTTCTCTTTTTTTCTTTCTTTTTTTTTAAAAAAAAACCCTACAAAACCATTCAATGATTTCAAATCTCACAAATAAATTTAATTTTATACAATTTGTAATGGGCACCCATTTTCACTACTGCATTCTTTATAAAAATATGTGACATAAGTATTATGGGTTTTTTATTTTAAAGTTGCTCATAAGCAATACTGCTCAACGTCTTTCACTTTTTAAAAAATTTAAAAATTTAAAAATTCAGAAACTTTTGATTTAGATATCCATTTTCAATAAAATTTGGGGATAAATAAACAAACTTTATTAGAAAAGAATCAAAACAATGCAAAGAATACAAGAAGCAAGCCTATAACAGCCCAATGTCTAACTAGTCAAATCATCTACGAAATTGCCAACACATCCAGATCTACCGTAAACATTACCCAACTATAAAGAATAGTGAGCAGCCATCGTTCCAACCACGGAACCGAACAAGACACACCCTGAAAAATAAGCCTATTTCGCTCCAACCAAATCAACCACATTAAACAGTGACCTGCAAAGTGACCAACTTGAAGTGTGATTTCATTCCAACCAACTTGTACTTCTTTGGCCAATTTAAAAGCTTAAAAACAGCTATAGCCACACACACACACACATCCACACACCCCAAAAAAATTCAACAATGAAAAAACGTTAGAGCAGAAGATGGTGAAAACAAGCTTGTCCTTAATTCAAAATTAACAATGTTGATATTATTTCTTGCATTTCCTGTATGATATGATGAGGTTTTTAGCTATACAATTTGTTGTTGTGTGTGCGTATTTTTATTTATTTATTTTTGTATCATACAACTTTCTACTTTTTTTATATTTATTTATTATTTAGCTATACTATGTTGATTTTTATTTTTTGTATCAAACAATTTGTTCTTGTGTGTGTGTGTCCTTAATTCAAAATTAACAGTGTTGATATTTGCTTATTTTTTTGCATTTCCCATATGGTACAAGAAGTGGGAGTTGCCTAGGACAAAGGCAAGTGATACAAGGCAAACAAGAGAAAACTAAATAACATCTCCTGTTTTTTTTTTTTTTTTTTTTTTTTTTTTCTGAGAGGAGAATGAGCAAAATATTTCAATGGCTATTGATTTTAATTTATTGTAGGAAACATGCATAGTCAAGAACCAACCAAAACCAAACAAACAAAAAATTCTTTTTTTTGTTTTTCTTTACATCTACTAGGTCACACTTTATCCGTCAAATTTGAGAAAACAAAATGAAATTATTTGCAACCATTTTTTGTTTCACCCTATGATCATTACAAATAAATGATGATATGTATATGTTGTTTTAACCGACTAAGAAATCAAACATAAAAAAAATACTAAAAGAAAGTAGTCTGTGAGTGTGGGCTCTATACTATACAAAAGTTCATATTTAAACCACTCATTACTTTTTTTTAATCATTTTATATTCTTTAGTCCCTAACATCATGACATTTCTAATCTTATGGGTTGAATTGCATAACCTTTGGTGCAAACCTCATCAACCTACCCAAAGCAGTAGGTGTGACTTTCCTTGCAAATAAGAAACAAACATTGGTGATATTCCCATTGTACTCACATTTCCTTCCACTCCTCATTTTCTCCAAAACCTCAATAGTCACATCTGTTCTCACAAACTTAGCTGGGTGTATACCTCCCTTTGACCAGTCAACCCAAGTCAAACTTCTATTTGAATTCCTCTCCGAAAATCTTATACTCACAAACGTTGGCAAGTAATGCTCATCGGCACAACATGACCTCTTGCAATGCTTTTGAAATAGTGGAAAATATTTTGTGTCTGATACAACCTCAATAGCTATATCTCGATCCATTTCGAACCATTGAGCTCCTTTTTTCCATTGTTGGATTGTGATGGTGGGACTCATTTGATGGCGATACCGGCCACGGCCAGCCAGGCCGGGTAGATCAAAGGATTCTACAAAGTTTTTGGAAGAGTATATTAGATAAGAGTAAATGGTAGAGAAGTTGAAGAGAGGGATACATGATTCAGAGAGGAGAACAAATCGTTGGTTGGAGAAGTCAAGAAGAGCATTGGCTAGTAAGCGACGCTCTGCTTCCACCATGCTAACACTTCCCCATTGCACTTTCTGCATTATACACGAGAATTCTATAAGATGTGATATATATAAACTATATAGTCAAGCACATGAGTGATGAATTTGTTGGACAATCTTCACTGTATTTAAATAGATTAAATTCTGTTATGTACTAAACAACAACCAGAATATAAAGAAATAAAGAAAAGGAGAGAATATGTTTGATTACAAAAATCAAACTTGAAATAAAAATATATAAATAAAAAACAGATTTTATTTTGTTACAAAAACAAAATTAAAATCTGAATAAATAAACAAATAAAAACAGAATAAAATTAAACAACTTACTTGGTTAATTTATTTGAATAACTTTTCTGATCAAGTCCAGTGTTTAACACTGTGTCCTTAAGACAGATTCGTCCTCTCCACGGTGCTTTCAGAATTTGGACGTCTATCTCCCAGGATGAAATGATCTTACCACAAACAATAGCAGCACTACAAATTGTTTGCCTTACGAACACACTAAGTGTTTACACTCTTTATTTCGGAAATAAAATACAGCAAGATGAAGAATATAAATTGCAGAGAATGGAATACGAAATTTCTGAATCTTAAAAACATCAAATGAGGGTGGTCCTATTTATAGATGTGAAGGTGGCTGTTGGTTTTGAATTGAACAGGTATGTGGCTCTTGGTTTTGAATTGAACAGGTATGATACCTGTTGGGTTTTGAATTCAAACAGATAGCAATTACGGGAAGGGCCCTGTTTGGGTGTGCATTAATTCGAAAACAGTTTATTTCTGTTTGAAAACGGGAAGGGCCCTGTTTGGATGAACAAAAAATCCAAACCAATTTAATTTGAATTCTGGATTTTATTTTTAATAAAAAATAAAATTAAATTCAAATGTTTTTGACCCAGAAAGATTAGAAGCCCAACCACACACCACGCACCCGCGCCCAAGCCCAGCCCGCCCGACCGGCGGCGTGCGTGTGGTAATTTTTGGGTCCAATGGGTCTAGCCCATAACCTCTCCCTCTAAAACACTTGGGTACCCCTTGGGGCACACCCCAAGTATCTCACCCTAAGCCTTATAAATCCTTTCAAAACTTCCCACCAAATCAATGTGGGACAAGCCAATTCACAACCTTAAGGAATTTCCACCAAAACTCCATTTCCATGGAGCACACTTTGGCTTCAATTTCTCATTCACTCGGTAATGGTTTTGAGCAACCAAATATACCACGTGAATCACAACGCGGCATAGAACGCGTTACCACTTTGACCCGAGTAAATCGACACTCGGGACCCACCTAAAAAATAGACCGAACTAAGAAAAAAATTCTGGTTTTATCCAAAATTTTATAACCATTTCCAACAGAATTTATATGTCAACCTTATTACCTACACACCCTCCTGCCTATATAAATATAAATAAAGAGAAAATATATCACTGTTATTTTTTTTAACATTATTTGATCTTTAATGAATATCCATTAAAAGATTATTAGCATGACCCTTTTAAAAATGTAAGACACCAAAATAAATTTAGGTTGTGTCTATTATCAAATAAAACAAATGAAAGGCATTTCTAGAAATTTTTAAGCCTCAAAGAACTTAGGGTTCTCAATAATAGCATTACACCATCTGTATAGACATAATTGTTAGTATTAAATTTGTACCTTACTTTAACGGATTATAAAAATATTTTTTTATCCTTATCTTATTTTAAGTGTTGTCATATTATTGTACCATAGTAAATTCGTTATTAGGAGGATAGTGTACATCCTAATAAATGCGGATTTGGAGTGAAGGCATTCTAGTGTTTTCATACTTGTAACAAGTTGTCATAATTTTTATGTATTTATAATTGAAGGGAGACAGCTATCTCTGTAATCTTTTGTAACATTTTTTATCATAATAAAAACCATAGTAGTCGTAGACATAATTATAATTTTGGATAAATTACGTAAATTTTGTGTTTGTCATATGTGTGTAATTTATTTTTCTTGTGTGTTTGTTCTTTTTTATATTTCGTGTTTCACCAATCTTAATTAGATGTTAAGGATTTCTAACACTTGTACCAATATCAGTACTCGTCTCCATGCTTCATTGGCACTTTCGTCATTTTGATCTCCAACATATTAATCGTGTTAATTTTATCTACAAAGTATTAAATGTATGCTAAAGTGGTCATCATGCCTCGGCCTATCATAATTCATTGTTAGAATCTTGAGTATTTTATAATTAAAAATTGCATCTTAAAAATAAAATAAAATAAAGTTTAATTACACTTTACTCAGCATAGGAACCTTGGATCATTTTTGTAAGTAATATTTCAATTGTGTCAATTTATGAAAAGATAATTTTTTTAACAGAATCTAGGTGAATTTTTTTCAAAAATGCTCCTAACTTTGACAATGAATGTTGATAGTGTCAAACAGGGAGACCATTGTAAGGAGTCGTTTCGCATACAGATAAAAAAGTTTTATATTTTTTTTTAATTTGTTCTTTAATATTTTTAAAAATTTTGTGTCAAATTTTTTTTTTTTTTTGATTTTCTGGTTGGTGTAGATGAATATGAAAAAAAAAGAAATCAAAATCAATTTTTTTTTATCCAAGACAAAAAAATAAAGAAAAAAAAAAAGGTCAAAAAACCAAATGCTTGGCACTTTTTATCTGTAGTGGACTTTTTTTCAAATTTTTTTATTTTTTATTTTTTGACTTTTGTGGTTGGTCTAATCGAGTAGAACTTTAAAAAAATAAAAAAGTTCACTGAATATGAAAAAAATATAAAAAATTACTAAATTGACCAAATAAAAATATTTAGAATTAAAATGACTCAAAATGAGAAATAAAATTGTAATTTGCCCAATGTAACTCCTATTTCCCAAAAAAAAAAAAAAAAGAAAAAGGATAGGCTTGAGTTGAATATTTTATGAGCGACGTGGTGGTTATTAAGAAGCCAATGCCCCCTTCGCGTGGACTTTTCGTTGTTAGATAGATGGTGTTCCAATTGTATACATTTTCAATTATTCCATTTTATAATCTCTTCTGGTAAACTATACAACAATATTATAAATTTAGAAAAAAATTATTCAGAAAATAATTTAGAAAAAAAAAAAATCTATATTCTAGTGTATGCCCACAACTCATTAACTTTAAATTTATATTACATATTTACTTTTAGCATAAAATTTTAGATAAAATTTTCATGTTATTTAAACCATATAATTATATAATGAGAGGTCAAAAAGGAACAACCCACTCAAATACGATGACGTGTTGAGTCTCGGTATGCAGTTGCAATTTCATCACTTGACACAAGTTATTAAGAAAATAATTTTCTGTGGGTAGGCTTTTTTATTTGTTAATTGTTCCATCAATTGTTTAGTTTTCTCATTATTTATTGCAGTCTTGAAAATAATTTTCTATGAGTAGACTTTATTATATTTATTCTCAAAATTATATTTATTCCCCCCCTCCCCCTGTTTTTTTATCCAAGTGGACTGCTAATCTCAAATAGCATGGGGATTCACAATCTAATCCCATAAAATTGGAGATAAAATTATCATTTTACAAAAATTATAAAAGCAACATGTTATATGTTAAGAATTTTTACCTAAATTTATAAATTTAATTTCAATTAACTAGCGCATGTTTGGAATTTCATAATGCCTTAAGTGTTGTTTTGTAGTTATTTGGGTTGTTGTGATTTTGTTTTTGTTTGCGATGATTAATCTTTATTTAGGTTGTTGTGATTTTGCATTTTTGTTTGCACTTATTTCTCGTCAATTTTTGGTGTAGTATTACTAGATGATTGTGCTTGTTTTCGATAGATTAGTTTTATTTTGATACTTTCATTTATTTTTCTTTTATTGATAAGTTATTTCGGTATTCTTTGTACATTGATTTTTATCAATAAAATTTCTATTTTCGCTAATAAAAAAAGAAGAAGTGCCATTAGGGCAGTTCAACCCTACTTAGATGCATGTATATCAAGTTCATAGAGTAAAAGGTGTAGGTGAAATCATACTCTCGTACATGTTATACTGTGTTTGTTTTGAAAGAAAATTATATTCAAGAGCAATGAAATATTTTTTCCTCCGATAATCTTCCCTAGCGTCAACCTAGCTTTCATCATCTATATTTTTGAAATTAAAACATCAATGAAAGCCCCAAATAATGAATAAACAAGCAAATAATTTTTTTTAATAATCCACCTATATAAAATTAAAGTAAAAGAGAGAGAAAAAAAAAAGCACAAGTTTAATATGAAAAATTAGACTAAAAAAACTGACCTTACTGGGAATTCTCCGGCCATGGAAAACTGAATTTTCAGGCTCGGATTGGTTAAAAGATGGATCGGAGTGCACGTAAATTGAGTAGAATCCTTCATGGCCTTTGAAGAACAACTCCCAAAGAGGCGCTAACAAAACTGGCCCTCTTGTCAAGAACATGAAAGCAACCTTTGGAACCCTTTTGAATGGGAATTTACGAATTTTGGGAGTCATTGAGGCCCTCCATAGCAATTCTTCGTCGCTCATATCGTGCGTGACATGTGTGGGCTTTTGATATTCTGATGATCTAATATTGGTTTTGGAAGTTTTGGTGGCTGATGGGGGAGGAGTAGGTGGTGGTGGTTGGGTAGCTGGTGGTGGTGGAAGAATTAATGGTGAATGAGAGATTAGTAGATTCAGTGACAAGTCCTTGAGATAGCAGGTTAGTAAAATCCCAGAGGTTATGCCACAGGCAAAGAAGATGAAATAAGAAAGGAGATTAGCAGCTGAGGCTGGTGGTTTTTGGTGTTGATTCTTCTTCATTGCTTAGAGAGAGAGAGAGAGAGAGAGATTAGATGATGTTCTTAATTATCACAATATAATGATTAATTCTACAATAAAACGTAATGGCATATCATATAACATATTATGGGATTCCTACCTACAATAAACGACCATATTATTTTTATTAAAATTGTTGTTACTAATCTAATTTAATGTTATAAAATAAAATTAGTGTTAAGATACATTGCTATTCAAGTTCAAAAATTAGACCCACTTTTTAAATCTAATGATATTGCAATCAATTAGGATATCATTCTTTCTCATATTTTTCCTAATTATCCATTAATCATACTTGCACATCGTGTCTGTTTGGTAGCACTTAAAAACAGTTTAAATCAACTTTTAACTTAAATTAAGTTATTTTGGTGTGTTTGATAAAACTTAAAGGGATAGATTATAACTTTGATTAAGTTACTTTCAACTTAAATTTGTAAGCAGCTCCAAGGGTGCTTCTTGATTTAAGCTTATGCAGCAAGCAGAAATGGAGAGCGTAAAATGACTTAAATGCCCTTTACAATTTTTAGTTATTACAAGCGTGCCATGTATATAAACTAAGAACACTTATTATTTCTCTCTCATACAAATAGGAGAAGTGATTTCTAGCGAACCAGGGCGATTTCCGGCGACCAAAGCTCTGTCTCTTCTCTCTCTCTCTCTCTCTCTCTCTCTTTCCAGTGTTCTTCGATCGCTCTTTATCTCGATTTGAACCATCGCAATCTGAACCAACACGATTTGAATCATCGCGATCGACAACGTGACAAACCCTAGCTCTCTCTCCCTCTTCGCGATCGACGCAGACGATGAGATGAGAAGGAGAAGGAGAAGAAGAATGGGCTGCCGGCGTGACAAAACCCTAGCTCTCTCTTTTCAGTGTTGCTCTCTCAATGGCTCTCTCTGCTCTCTCTCAATGGCTCTCTTTCTCTTTCTGTGGATCAATCTCAAACCCTAACGCCGGTTTGTCGCCGCTATGCCCGCCGGAGATAGGGTTTACAGTTTTTTTTTTTTTTTTGTAGAGGTTTTCAGTGTTTTTTTAATAAATAATAATAATAATTAATGAATAAAAAATAATAATTGCTGCTAATTAAGCCATTAATTGACACTAATTAATTTATAATGAAAAAATGAAAAAAAAAATAAACTTTCTATGAATAGTTATCCCTGAAGATTCGGCTAAATCCATATTATCCCCTGTTACCCCTCCAGGCAACGCCCAATCAAACTTGTGCACAAGACTGGCTAACACAAGCTCAAGATTGGCAATAGCAAATACAATTCCAGGACACCCTCTTCTTCCAGCCCCAAATGGAATAAATTGAAAAATTTGTCCGTTGAAGTCTATAAAACTATTCAAGAACCTCTCTGGTCGAAACTCCTCTGGCTCTTTCCACGATAAAGGGTCTCTCCCAATAGTCCATGCGTTGATGAATACTCTTGTTTCAGTCGGGATGTCGTAGCCTTGTAATTTGACATGTTTGGTTGATTCTCGAGAAATTAGTAATGGTACCGGAGGGTGTAGCTGAAGAGTCTCTTTGATTATTGCTTTTAAATAGTGCATTTGTTCAAGATCATCCTCACTTAAGTTTGCTTTTTTAGGGGCAATTCCTCTAACCTCCTCTTGGAGTTTCTTCATTATTGTAGGGTGCCTTAGCAATTCAGTCATAGCCCATTCTAATACTGTGTAGGTGGTATCCGCTCCAGCAGCAAACATATCCTACAAAGAATGATAAATGGATTAGGTTTATTACTATAGTTTTTATGATCCTTTGTTAGAATACAAAAACTAGATAAGGCATTTTGCATTGATGACAAAATGAACATTACAGTCAAGATTCATCGGCTAATGACAATTTTTATATTACAAATTATTGTAACATAACATTTAGTACAAAAATGCGTAACAAATATTAGAAAAATGTAGCATAAGATGCATATAATACTGAAGGGATTTCCTTTTAACTATGTGTCAATTAATGGCTTAATAAGCATCAATTAATACTAAAATTATTAATAGTACCAATTAGTATAAATTTTTGAATAATGCTATATGTACCAATAAGTGTATTAACTAATGTACCAATTGATGATGTGACATAATTTAAAAGGTTTTTGGTACTTGTAATGTGATTAATGAGTGTGGTCAATAATAATGTCATGATTAGTGTACCAACACTTGTAATGTGATTTGTACTAATTTAACTAGTGTTGGTACACTAGTTATGACATTATTATTGACCCCACTCATTAATCACATTACAAGTACCAAAAACCTTTTAAATTATGTCACATCATCAATTGGTACATTAGTTAATACACTTATTGGTACATATAGCATTATTCAAAAATTTATACTAATTGGTACTATTAATAATTTTAGTATTAATTGATGCTTATTAAGCCATTAATTGATACTAATTAATTTATAATGAAAATTGAAAAACATTTATACTAATTGATACTATTAATAATTTTAGTATTAATTGATGTTAATTAAACTATTAATTGACACTAATTAATTTATCTGTGGTGCTACATGCACCAATTAGTGTACACATTAGTGTACCAACTAGTGTTGCAATATTATTATTGACCACATTTATTATACAAGTTATAAATACTCAAAACTATACAAATGATGCCACATCATCTGTTAGTACACTAATGTGTACATTAATTAGTACATATAACATTATTATTATTATTATTATTATTATTTTAAATTTTTTTTTTTCGTTCTTTTGAGTGCTTTTGATAAACAATATTCGTGTAATGTCTCACATGGGTGTGGGACCCACACAATGTGGGGCCCATGTGGGTCCCACACCCATGTGAGACATTTGGTAAAACTTTTGGTAGAATTTTTGGGGACCTCTAGCATTTTTGGAAAAAAAATTATACTAATTGATACTATTAATAATTTTAGTATTAATTGATGCTAATTAAGCCATTAAGTGACACTAATTAATTTATAATGAAAAAATGAAATAATTTTATACTAATTAGTACTATTAATAATTTTATTATTAATTGATGCTAATTAAGCCATTAAGTGACACTAATTAATTTATAATGAAAAAATGAAATAATTTTATACTAATTGGTACTATTAATAATTTTAGTATTAATTGATGCTTATTAAGCCATTAATTGACAGTAATTAATTTATAATAAAAAATGAAAAAAAAAAATTATACTAATTGATACTATTAGTAATTTTAGTATTAATTGATGCTAATTAAACCATTAATTAACACTAATTAATTTATAATGAAAAAAAGAAAACGATTTATACTAATTGGTACTATTAATAATTTTAGTATTAATTGATACTTATTAAATCATTAATTGACACTAATTAATTTATAATGAAAAAATGAAAAAAAATTATATTAATTGATACTATTAATAATTTTAGTATTAATTGATGCTAATTAAGCCCTTAATTAATACTAATTAATTTATAATGACAAAATGAAATAATTTTATACTAATTGATACTATTAATGAAATGATAATTTTTGTAATACTAATTATATTAACTTTTATTAATGAAATAATTTTTTAAAATTAAAACTTCAAAAAATGACAAAATAATCATTTTATATCATATAAGGGCAAAAATGACAATTACACAATAAAAAGTTATTTTATAGTTTATTAACCAAACACTATTTAGCTGCTTAAATCCATAATCGCATAGCTACACCAAACAGGTAACAGCTTATGTTCACAGCTATAAACTATAATCTGTTAAGTTATAATGTATAATCACTTTTTCACAGCTCTACCAAACGGGGCTATCATTGAATTTACAAAATGGGCGTAGAAAGTGAGTTTGTATATCATTTTCCTATATATAAATACGTGAAAGTAGTCTAATATTATAAATATAGCTAAAATTAGTTGGGTAAAAACTCTCCTGAAGTAAAAATGAAGTAAGTCTCACAAATTTGATATTATTATATTAAACTCTCTTAAAGTTTTAATTTATAGAATACTTAGCCTCATTTTTATCAGAATTCGTTAATAATATGAATAAAAAAATGATATTGTCATCTTATTTACATTGAAATGTGTATTTTATATTGTGTCGTTATACCATCTGTATTAATTTTGATCTCTTTAATCTTACTAAAAAAGAGGTCTATCTAATTATATTTAAATTATGAAATTTGTATATTTATTTTAAATCTCAATGAGGTCAGTGTAATTTATCCAATTTAGTTTCAATCAACATTTTTATTTTTTTGAGGTGGTAAGTTTTGAAAATGTGAACCAAGCTTCCTTTGACCTAATAGTATGTAGTACCATTTTGTAAGCTGAGATTAAGGTTTCAATTTCTATAAAAACGAGTATGATATCATATATGGTGTTTATTTATTTCTTAATTTTGAGCTAGTGGGAATTATTGAGTTTGGTAATGGTAGAGCTTTTAAACTTTAGTTGTCTCAAGTTCGAGTCATCCAAATGAGTTACTAGATGTTTGTTTGATCAGTAATTTTAAGATCTCAAAATTAATCGAGATGAATATAAATTAACCCGAAACTTGATTATAAAAAATAAATGAAATGAACCATCAAACTTGTAAAGGGGAACTGAGTCTGGGTGTGGTTGCTACAAAATGGACCGAGTCAATTTTTGTGTTCTAGGGTGGGTTGACTTTGACCCATGAGGTGGGTGGTTTGGTCAAGAACGAACCCAGGCCTATAATTGTAACAGCCCAAGGGTGAAAACCCGGTTAATTATTTTGTGGGTGTAGGCCCATTATTGGGCCTTCTTGACTCATTATATGGGTTGTTTATCCGTCGGCTCCTATTAGTAATATAGCCCAGCTATTTTACCTTCTCCCAGACTGAGTTTAGCCCAACAAAGTGGTCAATTCAGAGTAATCAACAATTCAAAATTAATAAACAACAATATAGTCTCTCAAATTTCAAATCACACCTTGCTGAGGTGTAAAATTTTATTGGATTTTATGTCATGTTGGCATAGTGTAAAATCTCACAATAATTTCACACCTAAGGAATGACATGTCATAAATTATCACATGAATTTAGAACACTATGTAATGGTGTATTTGAATTATTTTCTGTTATTCTTGTTTTCTTACTCTAAAATTTCAATTCACCCTACTAAAACTCACCATTATTATCAATATCATTATTTTTATTATATTATTACTTGCACTTGGAAAACCTACAGCTTTCAATGACCACAAATCAACATTCCTCAGAGTTGTAAACATGGAAGGTACATCGCTAAAAAAGGTTCCTTGAATTTTCAAATTCGAGACCATGTGGTCCTCTAGCCCTGAATGCATAGAGGTTATTAAATCCAAATTGTAATCTACTATTAATGGCTCCTCTATGTTTCAACTAGTGCACAAACAGAAGGCTTGTAGTGGAGGTCTTTAACCATGGAGCAAAGCTGTTTTGATTAGCTGGTCTCTGAAGGACCAACTAATTCGAAATCAGGCCCTCCCTCCCACTAAGGATAATTTGTTCGATCAACTCAGAGTTCAAAATGAGATGGAAGAAGTCTTATCCCCAGAAGAAATGAATTAGGTGGCTTAAGTACGGGGATCGTAACTCAGGGTTTTTTCATGCTTCAATGATTCAAAGGAGGCAACGGAATCAAATTTTAAAACTTCAGACAGAAGAATGGAGGTAGCTCTGTTCTAACAACGATATTAATCATTACCTTACTGAACTTCTATTCCAATTTGTTTACTTACGGTGGTAATAGCAATATGGATGAAGCTCTAGAAGTGGTTGAGCACTCAATCTCGGCAGATATCAACCGCGTGTTGGTAAAACCAGTTTGCGTTGAGGAAATTAAGGAAGCAATTTTTAGCCTTGGTACGACCAAAGCCCCCGGTCCCGATGGCTTCCCGAGATTTTTTTTATCAAACTTATTGGGCTGAGGTAGGCATAAAAGTGTGTCAAGTAGTGAAAGATTTCTTCAATATCTTCTGAAAGAAATCAATCATACGAATCTAGTGCTAATCTCAAAAGTTCCCAACCCAGTGAAATTGTCACAATTCTGCCCAATCAGTCTTTGCAATTTTAGCCTTAAGGTTATCACCAAGATTTTAGCCAATCGACTAAAAGTGATTCTGAACAAGTTGATTTCTCCACACCAGTCTGCCTTTATGCCAGCTAAACTAATTGAAGACAACATTTTGTTAGCTCTTGAGGCTTTTCACTCCCTGAAGCTGAAGCGTAAAGGAAAATCTAGAAACATGGCGATTAAGCTGGACTTCAATAGAGCCTATGATCATGTGCAATGTGATTTCTTGGGGGCAGTGTTAAGGAAGATGGGTTTCCATCCTACCTAGATTCAATGGGTGATGGAGTGCATGACAACGATTTCATTCTTAGTTTTTGTTAATAGGGAACGTAAAGCTGCCTTTATCCCAACTAGGGGGTTAAGACAAGGAGATATTTCTTCTAGTTTCAGATATGCTCTCTAGGCTGATTTCTAGAAGTGTGAGGAACCATCAGACATCGGGCATCAAGATTACAAGACATTGCCCTATACTCTCTCATCTTTTGTTCTATGCTCTCTCATCAGACATCAGGCATCAAGATTACAAGACATTGCCCTATACTCTCTCATCTTTTGTTTGCAGATGGCGTCCTCTTCTTCCTTAATTAAAGCCAATACTTCTAAATGTCAAAAGATGATCAAGGTGATTAGGGTATATTGTGC